TCTGAGACAGGGTCTACCTGCTAAATAGCTTAGGGTCAGTTGCTAAGGCTGGCTTTGAACTTGTGATCCTCCTGCTTCAGCCTCCCAAGCTGCTGGGAGTAGGCAAATGATACAGATGACTACCTCACAGCAGATATGCCTGGACACACAGAGAGTTTGAGAATTATGAAGCAAACCAGAGGCATTCACATAACCCGTGAAATAGCTAAGGAATAACTGGGCCCAGCATAATGTTGATTCAATAGAACACAATTATCTGGGCATAGTAGTACATGCATGTAATCCAAGTGCCTCAAGAGGCCAAAGACAGGCCAAAGATCACAAGTTCAAGGCCAGCCTTGACAATTTAATGAGGCCCTATGCAACTTAGTGAGACCATGTATTGAAATAAAAAATGAAAAGGAATGGGGATGTGGCTCAATGGTACAATATATAGTACTACAAAAATAAATAAATAAATAAATAAATAACACAAAACCTTACAGTTATTATGCCTTTCTGAATATAATACACTTTCCATTTTCTCTACCATGAAGAAATCAGTAATTTTCTAACTGAACATTTTGAAACTGTATTCTTACTATAAAATTCTCTGATCAACTGCCCTTTTACCAAGGCCCAGGACAGCCTGGGTGAAGAGGAGAAGGACCTAACTGTAGGGTACGGAACCTGGGTACGATGGCTGGAATGAGTTAAAACTTCTGGACTTAGAAGTTCGCAGCAAACAATGAAGATGACTAGCAGAGGAGCATACTAAAATTATATGGTTTATAAAACAAATTTAGAAATAACACTTCTACTCTCAATATCCTAAAAAATCAGAACACTGTAAGTTATTTTCTTTCATTTGTTTGTTTAAATCATTTAACAAACCTTTACAGAACACCTACATTTATCAGGCACTCAATAAGACTGTAGACAAAAATGACCAAAACAATATCAATGAGATTATTCCAGTATTAATTCAAGTCTAAGTGGTTATAAAAAAGCATTTTATAAATTAGAGACTCTTTGCACTGTGTATTCTTAAATAAGTGAAATACAAGTACCTTATTAACATTTTAAAAGAAATTGTTTTCAAATATATATAGTTACATGGATATGAAGCAGTAGTATAAAAATAAGTTCTTATTTTTACATCAATTTATTTTGGAAAACCATAAGAATATTGGCAATTCGCAGTTGATATAATGCAGAATAAGTGATGGTAATATAATGTCCTGAAAATATTTTTAGATAAATCAGAAATTTTAAACTTCTTGTATACTGTACACAGAAGAATGGAACCTTAAAGATCTTTTCAATGAGAAACTTTAGTTATATTCTACAATATAACAATGAATATTTGCAGTACAAATTTAAAGAATTTAATTAAAATTAACTTCTTGATATGGTAGAAAACAATCCATTTCACAGATTGTATCATCCCTTACAATGTTTTCCTTTGAAAAAGAAAGAAAACATATATGTCATGTAATGAGCCAAACTAACAGAAGACAATTTAGCAGTGGGGAGGTAGGTGCTGGGAAAAGTAGGGACTAGAAATAAACGACTTTTACAATCACTCTTCAGAATGTTCCTGAGGAGATAAACTTTTCTTCACATACTTCCACAAAGTTTTCTATTCTAGAATTTAAAAATGACCCTTGTAAAAACATAACAAAATAAAACATCTGATTTCATACTTGAAAAGTAGGTAACAGTTCCTAGAGTATGAATTCATGGTAATTTTCTCAGAGTATAAATTACAAATTGTACTTTACTTAGAGAATGCTTATCACTAGTAACAGAAAGTTCTGAGTAAGTTACATAAGCCACAATGCTTTGGGGGCCCTCATTGGGAAAATGTGGATAATAATGGTGCTTGAGGCTCCCTGGTGTGTAGCTTAGTGATGCGGTTAGTGACTCTACTATGCCTATTCTGTGCATTACCTCATTAAAATTTAACAAAAATATTCTGAGGTGGGTATCATTTTTTCCACTTCATATTTGAGGAAACCAAGAACAAAAGGCTGAGCAAACTTCCCACAATTGAGCAACTGACAGTGGTAGAATTCAAACCCAGGTCCTACAAGACCCTTTAGTTCATATTTAGAAACAGATGCTACCTATGTGTAAGCATCACCAGAGAGCTTTCTATACCTATGAGAAGCACATTTGTGTTTATCTCCAATGCTAGGTTTTTTGGTGTACAGAACAGTTATATACAGTAGAAGTAAAACACAGGTAACCCTATACAAAAATCATTAATTATTTTTTGTTACAGAACATAGTTAAAATAAGAACAAGAAGACTTGGACTGCTACCAACAAATGGCAACAACAAATACATTTTTGGTCTACATACTTAGGTATGTTTTTGACCATAACATATTTGTAAATTGAGAGTTTTCATATATGGTTGAATAAAAAGGCCCATAATACACTGGCAATAAGAATTCCTCGAAGGCAATTCCTTTGAAAAATGTCAATGTAATTTACTACAGAAAAACACCCACCAAAAACTGTGGAATGAAGATGAACAGCCTCTATTAATGCTAATTGAAATTCTCGTATCCACATATAGCATGCATAAAATTTACTTCTACACTTATTATTTCCACCTCTAAACTACAGTAAGTCCATGCCAAAGTACCAGCTTTTTAATTTGAGCAGCTGTGTGTGCAAATTGATACTTTTTCTGGCAATTATATCTACAAATTTAATACAGGTGAAATCCCACTATTTGCAAAACAAAGTCTTAATTGTGGTTGTTCAAAAGGAGTGAAAACTGAATCTCCTGGCTTAGGAATTCAATTAAAAGCTGAAAATTATCATTTCTTAAAGTTTGTCACTTCAAAAACATCTTTTTTTTTTTTTTTTACAAACATGAGCACTAATAGATGTGGGTAAAATGGCCCCGCTCCCATAAATAAACAAACAGATAAATAAAATTAATTGAGTGGTACAACCTTCTTCATGGCCACAATTAATAACAATTCTCCTCTTTCTACCTACATAGAGTTATCAAATAACATATAATCTTTTAATAAACAAAAGTGAAACTATATTATTGCTTTTTGCTCTAATTACAAAATATGACTATAATTTCTTTTGAGGCCATTTGAAATTACTTTGTGATCAAAATGAATAATAAAAAAAGGTTAAGAACCATTAATAAACAGAGTTTACAGTAACAAATTATGTATTTTGATTTAAGAATATCATAGCTATAGAAGAATAGGTTGTATCCTAGGATACAACCCAATGATTGATTCTTGCTCAGGTTCTCAATTGCACAGTATATTGTATTTAAAAATATTACCTGTACTGCATTTAAACAGATAATGCAGTTGGTTTAGAAGATTTTTTGAAGACCTAATAATAATTTGTTGTTGTTGCAAATTTGGCTCTCCTTTCCATAAAAGCCAATTCAACACAATATCAACATTAATGATTAGGAAAAGAAGCACTGTCACTTTTCCTGAAGCCTTTTAGGGGTTAGACAAAAAGCCACCTAATTTGTCATTCTCTCTAAAGTAGTGGTAGAAAGCCATTCATTCATTCACTCAACAAAGAGCTATTGAACCTGACTTAAATGCATGCATTATATTACACTAATGTCTGGAAGACAAAAATAATTATCAGATAGATACATTTTAAAAAGAGGATATATAGTGTTGAGGTTGTGGGTCAGAGGTAGAGCGCTTCCCTAGCATGTGTGAGGCCCTGGGTTCGATCCACAGCACCATATACAAATAAATAAAATAAAGATATTGTGTCCACCTACAACTAAAAAAAAACCCATATTTTTAAAAAACAGTTTATATAAGGTAATGTAATTGGTCATATGAAATTTAGAATCTGTTTCTGTAAGAAAATGTGTATATACTGGACTATTTAGAAGAATGGCATGCTAGTGAAAGCATGGTAAAAAAAAATGGATGTGCATGATGGCATGTGTCTGTGATACCACTACTCAGGAGGCTGAGACAGGAGGAATACACACACACACACACACACACACACACACACATATATATGGGCTGGTGTATAATCCCGTGGTAGAATGCAACTAGGTGAAGTTCCAGTACTTAAAGAATATTTTTTTAAAAGTGCAGAAAATAAGGATATTAACAGGAAAATCTAAAAGATAGAAATACTTGAATGGGTATATTACTATCAAAATTCAGACACCCCTATTTTAATTTTCCACTACATTTAATCTTAGAGAACATTATTATGGCTTGCTTCAAAACTTAACTTTTAAATTAAGATAATTCTGTTCTCCTGTGTAAATAAAAGTAAAAAAAAAAAGAAATAGAAAAACTGAAGCTATTTATAGTTATCTTCAAACAACATTAAAAGGAAATAGTATGTTCCAGAGAGATAAGGGATACTTTTAAAGAACTGAAAGGAAAGATTAGATCTCAAGCTTATTCAAAACTGTTCTCCATTGTCATTTATTATAAAAATTGTGATTTTTTTGTACTTACCATTTATGTACATTATTCTCTATATCAAATAAGTTCACTCAGACAAAGGCACACTCAAACTGACAATATGTCCCATGAAGTGGTCACATAAAATGATCTGTGAGGTGAATATATTGGTTAACAGTTCCTGCAGCATTGTATCATCCTAAACCCTTGATATGTTCCAAGCAAAGAGCATTTTTGAGGGTATTTCACAATTAATTAGAAAGGATAGCATCCTATCTTAGCAAAGGTTTTGTGTATTTCAGTATGCAAAGATCTAACCAGCAGCTAATGACACATTCCCATAGAAAAGAAGAGCTAAAATTTTTGGAGAAAAGCTGTACAAAGGACAAATAATCAGGTTTTCATAGTTATAAATTGTTAGGACTGAAAGTGGTATCATTGATTTCTCTAAAAAGATAAGAAAAAGAATAGTTTTAGGTACACGGGCCAGAAGAGAGAGAGACCACAGTTTATCTAATTAAAATCATGAGAATAAACTCTAAGTATCCACCCACAGAATACCATCAAAATTCAAACTTACCTGATCTACTATCCAGAGGTCCAAAGTCCAAGGAATATTTCACTACATGATAGTTATTCCACACATAGAGTAGGTTGTCCCTGGGGTTGTAATCCACAGCTGCTATGTATTGATATGAATTGGGAAAAGGAACATCCACCAGACTATCCTTGCTTTGGTCGGTATTGTAAATGTAGTCAATCTTATTCCCGGTGGCCTCATTGTCATCATCCTCATATACAGATTTGACCACATACAGAATCCCACAAATCATAAATGCATTGGAAGCTGACCTTTTATCATATGCAGTATCCCATGTCCCTTCAATCCGTAGGGTATAAGGGTTCAACTGACTAATGACGATTTTACCATTGTTTTGTTCTGTTGCATAGATGACCCAGAGCCCATTTTCATCCACTGCCAGGTCTATGTCAGATTTGCCTCCCCATCGGTAAGGGGAGGTATCATGGTAATTGGCATTCGCTATGATAGCCTCTCCACTCTTTATCCTAGTCCGCAAATCAAACTTTACTATGTTCCTGGTGCGTTCTTTATTGAAGAACAAAGCTCCATCATACACAACAAATCCTGTGCCATCCACCCTATGAGGGAGCTTGTAGGTAGTAGTTGGCCTTCCAGCAATGAAGTCATCTTTGGATGAATATTCAGTCAAGGTATCAGTTCTGTAGGGGGTCCAGGGCATATAATAAATCTTGTCAGAAGCCTGAAGAGGGTCTTTGCACCATGCCCCAGACTGGTGATCAGACTCAAACAAATGTTCACTCTGGTATACTCCTTTTAGTAGTCCAGGACAAAGAAAAACTGTTGGAAGGGAAAGAGTTAAGACAAAAAATTGTATTAATTAATTATTTTCTCATATTCTTATTTTTTCAGCAAGAATGCAACTGTAACCAGAGATACCCACCACCACTTATTTTGGTGCATTTTTTGAGAACACAAAGTATTTTTCCATATTAATTTTGACTTTTTTAAAAAATCACTTTGATTTAATTTGCTTAAAAATTTAGACTTTTTTAATGAGTAGCTGTGCTTTCCTGTGGTTTTTACCTTTGTTAAAGTGTATGATAACATTTGTGAATATATGTATCAAGTGCAACATATGTCTATGTGTTCTATAGACATATAACAAATACAAAACTTTATACACAATGTGTTTATTAGTTCACTGAAGAACATATCTTATTTGGAAATGAAAGTATATTGTTTCCACTCTCAAAAAATTAGCTGTTGAACAGTTGTCATTAATAAACATAGGAATATCCCATAGTAATTTTTGTTTAAATAAATGAAAAATCTTGTATGTTACAGGCCAGTGAATCCTCTAGCAAAAAAAGCTCTTGAAACTGCTACAACACGCACAGAGCATGCAGTCCACACAATTAAAAATGAGTGATGGATGGATACTGGAAGGAAAAAGAGAAAGGAAGAAAAAGAAAGGAAAGAAGGAATAAGGAAAGAAGAAAGGGTGAAAAGTTACAGAAAAGAACCCAAGATCTAGATTTTAATCAGTTAAAAATGTCCTGTTAAATACAGTAGTATTGGAACTTAAAACATGTACCTTTTACTGTTACATGAAAAAAGCATTAAAAAACAAGATTACTTGCTATATTTTGCTGCTCATACTTCAGAATGAAAACAGGCAAGAATCATCTGATTCACCTGCATTTTAGTATGATTCAGTAACATATTGTGACAGTGGTTATAAGAAAGCTTGTCTGATTCATCTGACATGAAGGGGCAATAAAGCAATGTTTCCCATAGGGCGGTCCTTGAAGCACTGGTTTCAAGTAGTAAAGCTAGGTATTACAACAAAAGAAAAAAAAAAGGATCCTTAGCCACATTTGTCTAAGAAATGTTACATCAGATACTATTGTGGTAGAGATTCTAATAGCACAGGTAAATTAGAGAATCTCCCAGGCAGAAGCTGTAAGGGTGAGGAATTTTCACAAACTAATTTGATGTTGGAATTTTTCCACAGAGCCTCTTTGGATTGCAGTCTTCTGCTGAACCTGCTGTGGGAAACACTGCTCTAATATATTTGCAAAGCAAACACACTGAAAAATAATCATGCAGTCCACTGTTATGTTTGAAGTGATTAGAAATATACGGGGTGGAAAAATTAGGAAATCACAAGGAATTTAGAATCTGACCCACTTTTAATGATTTATTATTCTTTCAGCATTAGTGATTAGCTTTTTTAATAGTGATTATAAGAGCAGATTCAATGGAAAACAAGATGAAACTCAGCTACATTTTTGGAGATTATTGAAGAGGACAATAAATTACCAAAATCTCCCAAGTTTTAATTTTGAAGAAATAAAAAAAAATGTCAGGGGAACTGGCTATCAAAATATTCCATAGCAAGAATAAAAGAGCATTGTCAATTTAGAAACCATGATAATATTGATGATTATAAAAAATTTCTCAGCTGTTTAAATGATTGCTTTAGTTGTAAGGAAAAGTAACTCTTTGCTGTAAAAATTGTCCATCACCTTCATGCTAAAGTTAATAATAAGCCCTTGGTTGCTAAAGCAATTTAAAATATTTTAGAAAATTATCTCCCTTTCCCCCTAGTAGACACAAATGAGTGAAACAGGGGAACCTACACCAGAGCTATGAGAAATCATTTAGCACATAAATAAAAACAAATCTAAAGCAATCACTGTTCATCACATCTATTGGATTTCTAACTACTTACTTAAAAATAAAGAGGAATATAATATAATGTTGAAAATTTTACAATATTAAACTGTGTTAGGATAAAAGGATCAAACTAGCATTGGTCAGTAAAACAGATTAAAGTGAAGTTGAGCAGCAGAAGTAGTAAATAAACTTCCATAAAATAGATAAGAATTAATAACAAAATTATTTTAGCTCAATGTTAAACTGTTAAATAACTTAGCCTATAAATAGCATATAATTTATGAAAGGTATTTAATTACCTTTTTGTTCCACTTCTATTGGAGAGAGAGAAGTAAAGAGAGAAAGGAGAAAAGAGAATAGATTAATGGTACGGTATTGGCCAAGCAGTTTTTATTCACCTCTTCCAAACTGAAAGTAAATAATTCATTTCACTCATACTTCCTTCATCGAACATTATGTTTATTATTTAAAAACCCATTTGTCTAATGCAGTTTTAAAAAAATCATGTAAACTTTAAAATACAGTATAAACTTGGAAAAATAGGCAAAAATTAATCAAGCTGATTGAATAAGCATACTACTCCAAATGATAGACATGAAATGCAATATTTATAATTACACCAATATTTTATATTTTAAAGGGCAGGTCAGCAATTATGTATACAGAAAGCTTTCAAATAATTTTGTTTGTTTTACTTATAAATACTAAGTCTGTACCATTATTTAAGATAATAGTCTTCTTTTTTATTTCAATAAAAAATGTTTCTTTTGAAGAAATGACATCTTCAAAAGAAACTACTCTTCAATTGTTTTCTAGAACCTATGACTCCCCATAGCTTGTCTGTCTTGTAGGAAATGTCCTCTATGAGGTTACACATTAACCGGGAAGCTCTTTCCCTGCATAAATGAACTTATAACCCTTCTTAAAGAAATTTATCTCACACTTATCAATATTTGATATTATCATGGAAAAATACTGTCATTCAGAAATACCTACTAGCAGAAGATTCTTATAAATTTTATAATTCTTTCTCTTATAATTCTTATAAATCTGCCTCTGCCTTTTTTGACATTCTTAACTGAGTCAATATACAGTCATAAAAATGTTGTGAGGCCCTCAAACACATAGTGTTTATAATTTCTAAAATTAATTTTCATTATTGTTTTTAAGTTACTGATCAGTATAAGTCAGTGAAAGTTTTGAGAAATTATGACATATTTATCAATGTTCATTAAGTGACACCTTTTTGAACTTATAAACATTTGTCTCTTAAACACAATTTGCCTGCATCCTAATGAGGAAAAACAAACAAACAAACAAGTTACCAACAAGAAAATGGTACAAGTGTCAGGAAGAATGGATTCTTAAAACTTTAAAAATTACAGATTATAAATATTGTAAAACTAAGGCAATTTTACTGGAAGGGATGAACTGATAAATTATGCACAGTAAACATATTGAAAACTCCAGGAAAATTTCAAAGACAATCAAGAGATGCTGTTTTGGTTAATTACATTTGGGTGAGATTTTTGTTCTTTGACCTAAACTCATGTTTTCAATTACTGTCAATACATACTTATTTCTAGTCATTGACTTTTGAAACCTCAATATGACACATTTTAAGAAAAAAAAACTGTATATACAAAAAGTTAGGCTAGAAAGTTGTAGCTCACTAATTTACAAGTCTTATTTTTAAAACTATTCCTAAAATTATTTAAACATTATATTGCCATATTGTATCTCAGTTATACTTTATTGAGTAACTAACTACATGGTAAACATGACTGTATGACTAAATAGAGACCAGTTAAAGACTTTATCTAAGAGATGTATGCCATGCTTTCACTAGAATACTAACCTGTGTTCAAACTTACAACTAGAAGACCTTGTCCATTTAAAAATTACTTAATCAACAATCTCAAAAATTTGGACTTAAAACCCATTACAGTGAGGGTGGCGATTAGAAATGGGAAATCATCCTACAGTTCACATTTTTCAATCACTAACCTACAAAAAATTTTTGATTAATTTGTTTCCTTAAAGTAGCTCCAGATACATGTTTTTGAAAATTAAATATGGAGCTATTTATACTCTACAACATGAAATGTACCCTCCCTCACAGAATGTTAGTCTACTTTCACATTAAACTTATAGACAGTTTTATTTACAAATATCCTACTTAGTTGAGTGAAATTTGTCCCTTCAAAATGAGGAAGATAGGATTTGTAACAAAAAATAGTGATAATGTTTCTATTATATTTTGTATAGATTATCTTACATTTTAATAGAAATTTTGATTCTTCAAAGAACTTTCATCTATCATCTCAGCAGTCTTTTGGAAGAATTTTGCTTTTAATACTTGGTTCTTAAGTCTAATTTCCAAGAAATTGGCATAAGCTCTATTGTAAATAGAGCTTGCCTCTGTTACTTGCTGGTTACTCAAAATTAAGATTTATTAGGCAGTTCTGCTTTGGAGAAAATTATTATGGTCTTGCCCATGTCATGACTGGCTGTAGCTCATTTATCTTTTATTTGCTATTTTCAAGACTGAAGTAAAACAGACCTATAATTTAAGTTGAAACAAGTGCACACAAATCATATTCCCATAACAAAAACTAGCAAGACAACATAATTTGTCGTTGAAAAGCTTAGTAACATTTAGAATTGGCCAGTCATTGCCTATCATCCAATTCTGATTCTAGAATGTTCCTTATCCCTGAGACAACAAATTAAAGTGATTTTTGAAACAGCATATCACCATTTCCTTTGTAACCGCACAATGCCTGTTGTCATTTAGATATGAGGTATCCCCCAAAAGTTCATGTGTGAGAAAAAGAATGTTCAAGGTAAAACAATGTGAATATGAGAAGTGTAACCTAATCAGTAGATTAATTATTGATTTGGATTAACTGAGAAGTAACTGTAGACAGGTAGGGTATGGCTGGAAGAAGTCGGTCGTTAGAAGTGTGCCTTTTGGTTCATATTTTGTCACTGATGAGCCCAGTACTTCAGCTTCTTAACTGCCCTGTCCTGAGTTGCTTTTCTCTGCAGTGCTCTTCCACCACAATGTTCTGCCTTACTTGTGCCTAAAACTGTGGAGTCACTCCCGAATAAGCTGAACTTCAGATACCATGAGACAAAATAGACTCTTCCTTTTC